TATATATATATATATATAGATCGCAATTCTATACTATTTGATCACAAATTATTTAATTAATTGATTACGGATTATTTTTTGATCACTAATTAGAAATTTTATAAATCACGAATTATTTCACAATCACAAATTAAGAAATTTATAATTTACAATTTATTCATCGGTCACAAATCAACAAAAAATAAATTTATAGATTGCAATTTATTGATTAGTCACAAATTACAAATTTTATAAATCACAACCCAATTTTTTAGATCACATATTATTTATTGATCGCAAAATATCAAAATTATTGATTAAAATCTCAAATAATTGGTCACGTATTATTTATTGATTACAAATGGACCAATATATTAGTCACGATCAACTAAATAACTAATCACGAACACCCCCACCTCACACCATCCTATCAATAAACATCGCATCACTGTCATGACCATCGCACCACCATTGCCAACCGCCACCACCACCCTGCACACTATTGCTGCCAATCGTCTGCACATCAGTCGATACCATCAACAAAAACCACTTCAACCCTCCAACAACACCTAAATATGGAAATCGCCACCACCATTCCAACGACCAACACCTCACTGTCACCGTCGCCACTACCACTTGTACTGCCAACACTACAACCCACCACTGCATTGCATACCCCTTAAGCTTCGACTAAACAGATTGGAGGAAGAAATTAACCCAAAATCTCAAAATAATCGTCATTGCACTCTACCCTCTACCCACTCGCACATCCCTAAAACTCTGACTAAGCTGATTGGAAGGAAGAAACCAACCCAAAACCATCACCGCCATACCCCACCTCCACACACACCACCACTATTGGTATCATCGCACACGCCACATCACACACAAATCACCACCTTTTGTGACTAATAAATAATATGATGGTGGTGGTGGTAGCCACACTTGTAGCACCTCGTGGGCTCAAATCTAATGTGCGGCGTGCTCATCTGCGCTGCGCTGAGAAACGGTGAGAGAATAGAGAGTTACGATGTTTAGAGAGAGAGAAGGGAGAGATATAATTTAGGTTTGAGATTGAAATTGTGTAGGATAGATTAATTAATTTTATAATATTATTATTAATATTAAAAGTTTGAATTAAGATTTGATTTTTGTATAAACAAACTTGAAATCTGATTTTTGAATTCTAATTTCTAAAATTATGGTTGCACATAATTTCCACAATCTCTAATCATTTTAGAATCATGCTACATGTACAATCTAGTTTGACAATATTGACTAATGACATCACATTCATTCATTTTAAAAATCGTTTTTTTTAAAAATGACATTGGATTTTGACAACACAAACATTGTCAACCATTATTGTCAAATATAATTGTACAAATAACATAATTGATCATTTTAACTTTAATTGATATTTAGACGGGTGTTTAACACAAATTAAAATTCATTAAAAAGGAAAGGAAATTTGCAGTGAACTTTTAAATCATAGCACATACTTTCCATTTATTTCAAAAATTGCGTAGTGAAAGAATCTCTTGACGGTTCCTAATCCAAAATCATCTTACCAAAATTTAACGTTTAATCATCTCTAGGAAATGCAATAAATAAAAAGAAACAATAGTAATGTTATCCATCTCTAGTGTGGATGAAAACACAGTTTCGGTGGCGTTAAATGATGGGTTAAATGAAAGGTGAAATTAAATAAATCATATAATTTCATCAATCATTTAATGCCACATTAGTGCCACGTAGACTCTATTTTCATCTCCAGTGGGGATGAATAGCATTACTCAAGAAACAAAAAGTAATAAATTAATAAAATTCTTCATTCACCTCCCTCCCCACAAACCCCACCTGCAATTTGATCATAGAGGACTCTTGTGCTTCAGAGTGACGGTAAGTCCATGTTTGTCTCTCATTCTTTTAAAACTCTTTTTTGTACATACTTATTTTCAATCACGCATTCACATAATAAAATATTGTACACATAAATTCAAAACTTTTCAGTTCTTTTTAAGAGGGGTCACACAACGGCATAAAATCTGCAACTCAAATGGAGAAGCAACCAAAGAGAGAATTCGCAAATCAGTATTTCATTTATAGAATAATGCACGTATAGAAATAGCTGTAATGTCCTAACACAATTCGTCTCCTCGAGATTCTCCATTAACACATTCCTACAAATGAGAAGCTACTCGCAGAACAAAATGAACAAAAGAAAAATTCTGATGCAACATCCATAGCATAGAAAGATGTGAGAAACAACTACATGGATCTGTGATCGCGCTAGCCTTTTTCAATTATGAAAAGAATCACTGGATCTAACTTATGTAAGTAGACTCTGGTTTTACAACCCGGAAAATCGGGGAAATTTTTCTGGGCATCCCCAAACCTCGCGAAAATTTGACAGGGACCCAATATAGGCTTCTCTTGAATTCGTAGCAAATGACGTGAAGAAGCTACAATAGTTTCTCTTTTTGACAAAGAAGAACTAGTCACATTTGATGTTCCGGTAAATCCTCCTTACAAACAGATTAGAGCCCAAGTAACCAACAGCACCTGAAAATCCATGAGAAACAACCCTGTTAAAATTTCATGAATGGAATGCTCATAACTTCTGATTGATACTTATTTTCTAGGAAACAAATTCATATCATAAGGGACTGGTTATAAGTTCATCGGGACAAAATAAAGAAAGGAAGGCAGTTTAAGAAAAGCTTATATGGGTTAACTTATTACACTTCATACTCACCGCAAAGAATCCCTAAGCCAAGACAAAACATCAGTGTATAACCAAAGTAAAAGCTAGTCTGGAAGAACCCTGACATCTTTGTCTTCGCGTAGTAGTAATATATCGAGTACAAGTAGACGTAGACAGTTGTCGAGGCAGCGGACAAGAACGAAGTCCATTGCCAGTGATAATTCTCAGCATTTAGAAGGAAATACGTTGCCACAATTGTCACAGAGACAGTAACAATAATCAGAATCAGGAAAACCAGAAGCATAAAGCCATATACGTAGTAGACCTGCCAATATGAAGCAACAGAAAGGAGAATTTAAACAAACAGATAAAGTATGAACTTAACTAGTTTTCCTTTCAAATCATATATTATTGGTGCCAGTCCGTTTCTTTTGTTTCCCTTTTCTTCTCAGATAAATAGTTCATTTAAATCCCTCACTACCTTGTAGTTCCAGAATGAAGTGAAAACAAAATACATCTCAATGAATATGCTGCCAAAGGGAAGCAACCCTCCCATCATAGAAACCACTGATGGTGTCAGGTACCACTTCTTCTCAGGAATCGGCCGTGGAATGGTCTTTACACGGCACGGATTGTTTGGAGCACCACTCCAGTTTCTTCCAATAATTGTACCGAGAAGTGCCAAGGGGAAAGAGATAAATGCCCAGATGACAAAGACCACGACCATCGTGCCGAAGGGTATGGCTGCTAGAGACCCATAAAATATGGCAACTGTGTTCAGAATGAAGCCAATCCCAAAGCACAGGAAAGGGAAAAGTGAAGCAGTGAGGATCATTGATTTAACCCAGTTTTTACCTGCAACAAAGATGGATAACAATTTTGCATTTAATAGTGTGTGCAGAGGAAACAACACAAGAATTAAATACACAAATAACAATAATAGGCAAACAAAGATGAATCCCATAAAACAGGTAAAAGGTGGGCATAAGCTGCACATACCACCATGGCGCGCATACATTCCACCACTGACATAGCCTGAGATGAATGATGTCAAAGCATAACATACTATGAAAGTAGTGACAATAGCTCCTCTCCTGAATGATGTGAAAACCAAACCATAATAGTTAAGATCATAAATCTCATGGTTGACACAAATGAGAATGGTGTAATTCCAATTAAATTTCTAGATCTCCCTCTAGCATGATGATGTCCATAAATGTCAACCAAAAATAAATAGAACAAAATGAATGTATTCACTAGACGAGGGGAGGTTAAGGGAAGGGAGGTGAACTTTAATAAGTTGCTGAGGAACTAAGATAACTGTTTACAGATTTCAAGTATTTCAGAAAAGAGTTGCATCTTTCACATACCCGATATACAACATTCCAACAATAGCATATAACACAACGAGGAGGACTAGCAATGCTAATTGTGCGCCAGTGCCAACTAGAGCAGAGAGTAAAACTAAACTTCGGGGAGGCCGAAATACGTCTCCATGAATAAGTTTCCAACCAGACTCTTCACTGACATCTCTTTCCTAAATATAAAGAATTTAATTAACCATTAACAATGCAGTTAAGAGATCATCAGGTATCTGATGTCAAGATCATTACCAGGGCTTCTAGATCATCATCATCACGAGCGTATTTAGCATAATCATTCCTTAAAGTGCGCATCAATATCATCGACACCAGACCGGTAAGGAATATAACCATCATGAAGGAATTGAAAATCGAGAACCAATGAATCTGCAAGATGCAGAATGTAAGTCACGACTTGGTACCTGATGATGAACCAATTACTATAAGACAGTAAATGCCCCCCAATTCCCTTTGTTCCTTGGAGAAAATCGCACCCATTTAAGCAACGAAATCAAATATACAAAAATGGATAATGGCAGAAGGATTGACGTTCTTATGAAATGACAAAGAGATAGAAACCAACTAAAGCACACATAACATCATTTTCTCTTAAGCTGTGGAACCTCACATTGAAAACTATTTTCTTAGTCATTGAAATCCAAATTTTAATCTAAATCAAAGTCAGCAATTAATTTTAACCAAAATTTTTAATGAGACCCACAACTTTTCAATCACACATTTCATCCATTCTTATCAAAATCTACCTAAAATCTGATTTTAATTCCCACCAAACAGGGGCATAATAATATCGAATAAGAATGTCAATGTTTACCTGATGCTCAAAAAATGGGTGGTCCAGGTAAACATCAAAACGACGTGCAAAAGAGACATCTGTAGGGATCCATTTCACGGAATATGTCATGTCCAATGTTGTTCCCAGTTCCAATAGTTTTGGGTTGTATTGGGTGAGGTTGACATGAATGATCTACAAGATAAAGAAGTTAGCAACAAGAAAACTAAACTGAACCAAGAAATACAAGACAGCATTATACAGTCACATACTTGATCTTTGTTGTATTTCACAGTGATGCTCTTATGCCTGTAAAGCATGTGCTTGTTGTCACTATTCCTGTCGAGATGCATCTCACCAACAAAGCCTGCAAAGAGAATGTATTAATTCAAAACATAGGGTGGCATATAGTAATTTATCTGAAACAATAGTTCAAGGAAGGCATACCCCATAAAGGCAGATCATCTGAATTTGAAGCCAGTACACCAGAAAAAAAAATGAGATCAGGAATTAGATAACTTATATAAAATTTCATTCTAAAAGCATATTAAAAGGAACTGAAAGCAATGAACAAGCATGCATACCAACAGTTACCTTCTAGCTCATGTGTGTGTATCTTGTTCTCAAGTCAAAACCAATTTTTAAGGGAAAAGAAGACAAAATATCCGCAATTGCCAATAAATCATAATGTTCAACAAGCCGGCAGAGAAGCACAAAGAATGCAACCAATGCATCAGTCTAGGATAAAGTCAACTAAGGATCTCTACATGATTTTTATGAAGTTTTCTAAGTCGACGTAGATGAAATTCTAGGACTCATTTTAAAAAGAATCTAAAAAGAAGGGAACTTCGGCAAGTTCTGAATTTTTACTTCCCCCAAATTCTAGCAAGAAGTTAACCTTAACTCCAAAGCAATTCTCAAAAGTAAGCTTGAAAAACATTTAAAGCAGTATGCAAGCACTTCTTCTAAAGTCTGTTTTGTAAAGTTCATCCATGTAACCTTGAGGGGTTGCTCAATTGGTCAGGTCTTTTGTTTGCTCTACAATGGTCACCAGTTCGAGTCCCCTCAAAGCCATTGAGATGAGTACCGAGCCGTAAATTTCAGGGCCCGTGGGATTAGTCGAGGTGCGCGCAATCTGGCCCTGACATCCACGGTTATCAAAAAAAAAAGTCTATCCATGTGATGGACAGATAACTCAAGCCAATAACTAGTGAAGTCTTCCCAATTACTGTGGCAAAAGAAAACTGAGATCCAAATAATAACTGTTCAAAGGTTTGCACAATGTCTTCAAAAAATTATAAGACACTGAATAAAATAAATAAATAACCCGGATAAAATCATCAGTTCAAGCTTTTTCTTGCATTTGTTCACATAAAATTCCTAATCTAGAGGCGAATTAGAGACTTCCCACAAGAACTTGATGGTTCTGATTGTGTAAACTTAATTGCACCCGGTGCTAGTTATTTGAAAAGGCAGTACAGGACATGATATCATGGTTTACATATCAGTTATATGACATTTCTTACTTCTAACAGACATAAATTTACCAATCATCATTCATACAAAAGATAAAGAGAAGAATAATCATGTAACATACCCATGAAGAATTCAAACCAGTAACTATTTTCAATGGCATTCTTGAATTGTTTGACTTTTGTTTCGTCAAGCTCAAGTTCACAAATGGTAGTCTTGTCCACAGGTTCTGCCAAATACAAACATGATGAATATCATCGTAGAGAAACACAACACTAAAGGCATGCTAGAATTCAGAGATCCACATACACGTACTTTGGAATTTTATGTCAATCAGACTATCAATAAGCTCATTTCCACCCAATACCTCACCAAGACCGCCCCATTTGTGAGCAGCATTAACCGGTGAATGACAAAAGGGAAGGCTATAATAATTGTATGTTTCTTGTGGGTTATTGTATGGCCCTACTTTATTCACCCACAAGGTGACAGGGTCATCAGGTTGATACTGCAGGAAAGTAAAAGGGTATGTTAGAAAGCACTTTTAGCTAGTAAAGTATTGAATCTTTTGATATGGGTCGAGCACACTACAATAGGAAATATCAACAACAGATGGATATTAATTCCCCATCCACAAGATTATTTATGCTTAAAGAAGAACCACATGTTACACCGCATTGTTAACAAGTAAGCACCGGAAAAAAAATCTCCTATTCTTGTACAACAGTCCTTGCTGAAGACCATCCAAAAAATATGTACAACAGTCCTTGAGATAGTTACCCCTTAAAATATGAACAACAGCCTTGCTGAAGACCATCCAAAAAATTACACTCTTTGATGTGTTATATCCATGTAAAGAACACTGTCGTCAACTCGACATTCGATTCTGATCTGGCTTTGGGATTCATTTTGTTCATATCAGGGAAGAAATCTTAGTTCAGTGGGACATACAACCAACAACCTCAGCAGCAGTTAAGTAAGTTCTTGAGATATTCCAGGTTTACAGCCATTATTTTGGAATTTTATATGCGAATTATTCTGTATTTCTCTTGAAGCAGCATTTCTCTTTCACAGGAAAGGGTTGCAGGGTAAAATGCCACTAATTCTTAATTTCTTATCATCTATCTCCCATCGAAAGTATACAGCAATCCACAATCGAGATGGGCTAGCATTCTGCTGTATTCCACACAAGTTAAGAGGAAACTTTTGATGCGTCAATCATACTGCCATTGTCCTAGCTACACTTCCCTTTGCGAAATCCTTAACAACCACCC